TATTTTGGTGTTGTTCATGACTAGGCTACCTGGAGCCTCGCGAAGGTGACTGATCTATGCTGGTAGAATATGAATAGAGCTGCTTGATTACCATCACGGTTCAATTGAGCGCTACTTGACTTGACTATGTGTCTGTTCGTCGTGCATGAGTATGGTGGAAATCCCGAGAGCCGGCTCTTCATTTCGTCCACCATCAACACCACCCCAAGACTACACCAACATGGTCGGCATCCCCCTCTAAAAAGGCATGCTCATGCCTGCTCACCCTATCGCACCCCTACCAGGCTTCCTCGCCGCCGGCCCGCCAATCTTTCTCCTCGGCGATGGCACGATGACTACGTACCGTAATGATAAAGTCTGCAACTCGAATACCTTTCCTGCTCTTAATCTCAACGACGGTATCATCAATGTGCTGGGTGATTTGAAGCCTAGAGCTGATGATGGGCGGGGTTGAAAAGTTTCCGGAGACCTGTAGAGGGTGTTAGGTGTGAGTGTGAGATGGTTGGTGGCGGGTATAAGGTGTCTTTTGTCAACATCAGTAAGTGCTGTTTGTTCAAGGTTCTGGGTTTCGTTGGAAGGTATCGGGCATGCTATGAATCGAGATAGATTATATCGTGATCAGTTGGAATGGGTACTTGGGCTGTCGTGGCGGGATTTCAGGGTGCCATGAGATGCCGTGGAGTTGTAAGCCTAGAAGATGGTGGCCTAAAGGAGATTCCCCAAAAATGTTTGATACCAAGTGTGACATCTACAAATGAGATAGATGGCGCGGGGGAGTGGGTGATGTCCTTGGGCCGTGGTTCGACAATGATGATTCTCTTCCACTGGCGAAAGCCATAGTCAAGGACAAGGCAGAGTTGGAGGCCACCTCCGGAGATAGGGATGGAGTTGCATGGTGGCGAAAGTGGAAGTAGGCGTTTGTGTTGAGATCGGACCGATCCTGAGACTACACCCATCAGGTGAGAGGTCGTCTCGAGTAGGTACCAGAAGAATATGTTTCTCGATGTACCACGCTTCCCAAGCAAGCGTGTGCCGAATGGCGCATGATGAATGAACTGGTGGCCACTGAGATAGTGTCATTCAGGCAACAGCAGCGTGTGCTTGGTTCAAAGTATTCCAGGCAGCCGTTTGTCGATGCAATCTAGGAGCGTTCGCATGTTACTGACTTTCTATGATGTCAGTGAGGATATATTGAAACTAGCGGAGTTCACGGAGTGTGGTCAGCAGGCTCCCGGCAACGTGGACGTGGAAGAGGGCCCAACCCGTGAGACAGTAAGCGGAGGCCACCGGGCTCGGGGACCTCGATTCATCTCTTTTCGATAAAAGATGTGTGACACAGTGAGTCCCAGGGAGTTGTTACCCGATGCAGTCAGCAGCAGAGAAACGATTGGAAAGAGTGAGAAACACGTGATCGGCTATGCGGTATGTAAGCTCAACCTCACAAATCTCACCAACGAGCTGTCTGCCCGGGGAGTGGGGGCTGCAATGCAAGGTGGTTCTGATCGCAGTCAACTCTTGTCTAGGCTGGTACCTACCTTGCATCACGTGCTATCACCTTGGGCGGTTCTATAATTTCACTCTGGCTTACAGAGCAGAGTGCAGCATGTTGACGGCTGACATATTGTCGGCCGCCGTAGGGAAGTGACGTCTCAGCGTGAGTAATTGGGTACGATGATGCGCCCGACCAAAGACCATTTGGCTATACCAGCAAGTACTCGTCGTAGTGGACTCCACTGCGAGTGCACCAGAGTCCGAGGTTTTGATCGCAGTGTACTCGGTGAGGTGCGGCGTGGGGGTGGTGAATTTGAGGTGAGGTGGAAGTGGGAGGGGGGGAAGGTTCCATTTGGAATGATCTATGGATATTCAGGAATAGGACTCTCGCCTCCGCTCCGGCTCCGGCGGAGTTCACGACGGCAAGTGCACAGGTTAGATGTCCAGGGGAGGAGATGCACGAGCGGGTGCAAGGCACTGCTTCCAACCTTGCATTCCAGACATGCTAGAAGCTGCCAAAGAAGGAGCAATAACTCGAGACACATAGGTTGGCTCCCTCCATGAAAGATGATTCCGTATTAGGAAAGAAAGGTCGAGAGGGTCCTCCTTCCTCCTTCCGCCGTCTCGTCGGATTGTCAGGACCCGGATGGCTGAGGAAGGAGCGATGGGGCAAGCCACATCCGCAGCGAATCACGGCCCTTGCTTCCTCCTTTCTCTGGATTTACATTGGTCAATAATCCACCCTTGAGCCTATAAACTGGGCCACTCGTATTAAGCTGTGGCGCAGTTGCGAGCCCGTGCTGTCAGATCACCGTGTGACGTTTCTCAGTCCACCGGTCTTCTTGTTCTCTTCTCCCCAACTTCCACGCTTCATCCCGTCCTCTCATCCCAACTTGTACTAGTCGCCGCGCTTGTTTCCGCTCTACCGCGCGAGTCTACCGCTACCGGCCTTGTCCGACATTCCGAGCCGTAACACAGCAAACCAAATGCTTCGCATCGCGCTTATAATCCTTCCTTCCTGGGCCGTGGACGGCGCTTCCGGTATCTTTGCTCTTCCGGCGCTTGACTTGTCGTGAAGTGCTCCTCCGGGGCATAGAGCATTCGCGAGTCTGCCTCGCCAAAAATCGAACACGGGCTTCTTCATGGCTATTCTCATACCTTTGGATGCTTTTCGCTCGGCGCTTGGAATCCTGTATCGGATGGGGCAAATTCCTTCCGATGGACCATCCTTTGATACGTGATCGACCAGACGGGTTTCCTTGCGGCTGCAGTGTGTCGATCGATCTGCTCAGATAGGGCCAGGTCTTACAGCTACTCCCAGCCTCAACTTCAGCAGCCCATTGTTGACTTCCAGAAGAAACCCCTCGGTCCATCATCATTGGCCCACAACCCTAGCAGGCGGGAACTTTGGGAGCCGAGGCACGGGCTTAGCCATGCCCCAAAGTCTAGAACCAGAGTCACTCACAACGGACCCAGACCGGAGCCAAGAGCCCCTACACATGGACGAAATTTCGAGCGGCGGGGCAGCTGAGTTGCAGACCAACCAACCCGCGGATAAAGCAACCTGGTTGACATTCAGCCCTATGGAATCATCCCCGCATCTACGACTTACTCCAACGTGGTTCATGTCTGGGATACCCAAACATCACGCGAGCTATGCAAGGTCGAGACAGAGCTTGGTTCACGCTTGCAGATAGCTCGACTCTTTTTGACTCTCTTGCAGAGTTCTTCTACATTCGCGTCCACCTGCATCTAAAGTTCCTTGCATACATACTTCCGCTCCGTGCCCGGTCTCGATGCTATTTCGTACCCCCAACCTCTACTCCGTTGGCACCACGGCGGAACGCCAGACCCGCTCGTCACTCTACAATTCATTGTCGTATCTGCACGCCTGTTGCAAACGGTCCCTTCCAGTCTTATTGGTCTATTGGCGCGAATCGACAAGCCTCCACCAAACAAGCTAATAGACCTCCGTCGGATTGCCAAACTGAGCCTCCCAGCCTGGTCAGCGACAATGCCTTCTTCTGAGTCTGGTCATCCTTCGCCATAGTCAAAGCGTTCGCTATATGCAATCTTCACCTGATGATAGACCGGGGACGCCCGATCAATCACGAGCCGGGACTGGCGTGGGGTGCGTAACCATTAGTCCATGCCATACGATCTGTCCTCCACTAAAATCTGACGTTGCCTTTCTTGGGACCCTGCCATCCTCCCCTCGTTGACCGCCTGCCCCAACACCCTATGAGCTGTCTCTCATCGTTGACACCATGCCTGGTAGGGCTGCAGCTACGACCTCTGCGCAGTCTCGTCCCACCCCAGAAGCATGCATGTCTAGGCTGTCCCGGCTTCTGGGGTCGGTCTATCGCGATTCCCGTCGTCATCGACAAGGGTGGTGAGCTCTCCTGGGAGCTCGAGACAAAAATACGTCTGCTCTGTCAGCAGTTTTACTCATCGGCACCTGTATGCGATGTGACCAATCACTGACCTCAACCTCGCTTCTTCGCCCATCACACTGCATACCGTCCCCTCCTCGCAAGCATCCAAGTCTTGGGAGAAAGAGTCACTAGAAGTCTCAAGCATGCTCTTCAACCAGACCTGCAGCATAGCCGGTCTCCTGGGAACGGGTGAGGCTTCTGGTCAGAAGCACAGTGACCACCCGTTCTGCAGTCCCCGGTCATGGTACACCCATTCCTTGGTCTGTCTTTTTGGCGGACGCCCCTCTGAAGTGGTTACCGTAACCCCTGACGTCCTTTCTGGTGCCTTCATCAGCCTCAGCCTCAGCTCCGGGCTACATCTCCCTCCATGTGGATGCTTCCTACCCGTTTAAAGTTCAAACGTTTGACTATTGCCGGAGCGGTGCCCGGCATTGACGTCGTGGCTGGGCAAGCCCATATCGTTATGATACACCATCATATGCTGCCACTTTTGGCTGCAATCTTCTCCTTCTGGCTCTGGGAGAACGAATCTTGACCATACAAAACCATCCTGTCGTTTCATATACCCGACACAGAAGCAACTCTCCTCGGTGTTACTCAATACCAAGCTTTTCTGACGGCCTTTGCCGACTGTCGAGGCATCGCAAACTCACATCATCTCTCATCTCGTGATACGCCGTCTCCGGTTCGACTGCTGCGGATCTCAGTCAAGTACATACTCAACGGCTATCTTGGGCCATTGAGCTCTGCCGACGTCATTGCAACAGACATACATATCCAGTTGGAGGGTGTCTGATTGCCTCGATCGACCCATCTGCTCGGTTCGGAGATTCTACCCCGAAGTGGATATCTATCGTGATGAGCATCAAGCTCGAAGTCGAGGAGCAGGATATATCACTAGCTTCCCCCGATCCGAATCTGCCACTTTCCTTTGACCACGGCCACACGAACATCACACAGCTTGAAGATCAAATAGACTCGGATACCCAGTACACAGTCGAGGATATCCTTGTCGCCTTTGCGCCGCCATCAGTCAGTCAGGAGTCTCATCCTTCCCGCAGACCGTCATCAACCATGTCTTCGTCGCGTTCCGGCCGCTCGGGAGGGTCATCGAGCCACCATCGTAGCTCCAAGAGTAGCAAGAAACCAAGGGCGGTTCAAGTTAGTCACGGTCTCCTCTTTGTATTACCTCCCCTTCCCCTGCAAGGACATGCCACCCACTAGATCTCGGTCCTCTCTCGTTCCATTTCACGTTCAAGATTCCACTGATATACCTGATCCTTCCTTCTTCGTCGGTCATCATACTGACTTTTGACCATCTACAGCGCTCAATCCAACAACTCATCGAGTCCCTAGAGACGCACAGGGTCAACACCCTCACAGAGCTCTGTCGCATTGAGCGTGTGGCGGCCACCTGCGAGAACGAAGAAGACGCCCTAGCCTTCCAGGGCCCCATGACAGCCGCCTGGGACTACTACGTCAACAGCAACCAGTTCCTGACGGAGCTCCGTGGCCTGACGCGGAGCTATCCCCTCTGCAGCGACCTCCTCTACGATGCTCACGTGCGCGTGCGCAACGATCCCAACTCGAACAAGAGCTGGAACCTGGCGTGGTTGTGTCTGGTCAAGATACAGGAAGAGTGAGTGATGCCCCACCTCCCAATCACCAAGACATGTCTTGAAAGATCAACGCTGACATTGGTATTCTTTGCGATTGTAGTGACCTTGTATCCGGATACGCAGCCCTGGAGGCCACGAAGCCCGAGATGTGGGGAGGTCGCGAGCCGTCTACCGACGAGGCGGCCCAGCTCGGCGCCTGCTTCGAGTATGAATGGAACAAGGCCGTCGAAACGATGCTACGGCACTGGTCCGTTCCCCCAACATGGTTTTAACCTGGTTCTGGGGACTCGCGATCATGATGAGCCGGCTGACATGAGCGTGAGTATCAAGGAGATGTAGAGGAGAGATCCTGCAAGAGCACGATTACGACACACATCTTACGGGGTAGAATGTGGTTTGCTTGACATTTTGAACATGAGCGAGCGAGGGCAAGAGATTTTCTGTTTCGGGGCATAGCATTAGCATTTGGGGGGGGGGCATTGGGAAGAAGCATCGTCATCGGCATCGTCATACACCACTCCGTCTCGCGACAAAGGTTGGATTTTTTCATGGCATTTTTTTTTCTGGCTCTCTGAGTTGTATTCAATCCTCCTGGAAGAGGTGAAGAAAATCAGATCATTGCAGTTACAGAGGGCTTCTGGCAAGCCCGAGGGATGTCTCATCTCTACTTTGGTTAGAAGCATCAAAATATGTGTCTATTCATATTAAAAGACATAAACCTCATCAAGTTGTTTCATTCTAAGCTCGACTTCATCATCATCGTCATGAAATGAAGCCACTGTTCTCCACGTTCAACCGCGAAGGTGACACAGGCGACGGCCTCAACCCCAGAAACGAAGCATCGCCAACGCGTACCAGCCAAGCCCCAATAGGCATGGAACCATTCGACCAGAAAGATTATACCGACATAACAAAGTACAAACCCAAGATTTAGAACATTCCAGAACCATTGAAAACGCTTAGCAAGCAAGGGACAGGAAACCCTCTTCAAAAGTTCCCGCGTGTCAAATGCACAGCGCCGAATATGGGTGGCGAGGTTTTTGCCGGCGCCAACTATTACGCCGGTCCGCCGACGGAGTAAGATATCATCATCCAACCAAGGTGGGTTTACCAGATGTAGCTGCCTGCCTGCCCATCTCATCCTCTCCACGACGCTTTAGGAGTTGCTGAGAATATCTACTGCGAGTGATGTAGTAGTCGGTACAATGCGGGCGTTGACATGCAGCCATCTTGAACATGGCGATGCTCGTAAAAGGCTAGTTGTGTTGCAGATTACCCAAGAATCGCGAATCGCGTATGCGTATGCGTATGCAGGCCCAGGTGTTCAAAGACCAAATCAAAGCTTGAGATTTACGAGTCTGGGCCCGGTATTGGCCTCTTAAATCTATACCGTGTAGCTGTCTGCCTCTTCTTCTTCCAGAGGGTGAGCTGGTTCCACCCTTTTCTATTGATGCAAATATATCCGCTTTGAACCAGGCATTTCCGACCTTTTTTTTCTTTTCCAATGCTATGATTATCCGAAACATTTTTCGACCGTGTTACAAACATGAACCTAGCGGGTTGACATGTGTGTTGCTCTTCGCGGCAAGAGATTGGTACACTACACTGGCTCATGGCTCATTTTCGCCGTCAGTGCCATCTTCCTCGCCAACCCAGTCGTCACTCTCGAGACCGCGGTTGCGGATGGCAAGGGACCCAACCCATCCCAAGAGGGCAATGCCGCCAAATGTGCCCCAGACCAGGGCCTCACCCTTGGGATGGACACGCGTGGATAGCGTGAAAAGGGAACCAGAGACGAACGGCCCAAAGCTGCGGCCCGCGGCGGATAGCGTCTGAGCGATGCCGTTCAATGTTCCCAAAGTAGCATGATTCGGTGCGCAGTTTGTAATCTGAAGCCATCATTAGCAAAAATTCATAGAGTTCAGTCATCATTGGATAACTTACCAAGAGCATGACGCTGGACAGTCCGCCCACGGCGCAGATGTTCTTGAGGATGAGGATGACGCCCAGTTCCGCGTACAGCCAAGCCGGACCGCTGCCGATGCCGAACATCGGCTCGTCGTCCAAGTAGGGAATCCAGGGCATCAGGGCCATGCTGATAGCCAATCCCAGCAGGGCAATGCGGTAGGTGCCCAGATTTCCCAGCCGTGTCTTCAAGTGCTGGAAGAGGAAGGCTTGAAAGACGATGGTGGCCACTCCGGCCAGACTAAGACTGATACCAATCTTACTTGGCGGGAGACCGCGTCCTGTTGGAGGGTTGGCGTCGGCGAAGATTGGGTACAAGCTGTTGAAGGAGATGTTGGACAGCTGGAATACTAGGTAGGTTAATAGTACGAGAACCGTATTGCGATTCAAAAGTTGACGCCATGTCGCTAGGTCGCCCGGGAGCTTAGCGTCATCGTCGGCATGGGCATCGTTCTCGGATGCATGCTGAAGTAACCCTTGATCCTCCCCTGCCTCGTCCTCGTCATCATCTTCTTCTTCGTCGTCGTCGTCGGTGCTGACCACGGCTTGTGATCCGCGGCGAGGCCAGCGTGTGGCCCACGAACCTCTGCGCGGTTGCGTTTCTCGCGAGACCCAGGACCAAGCCTTGCGCGCCCAAGCAGGAATCCATGCTGCTGCGTGGTCTGGCTCCAACGTTTCCAGTGTCTCTTCGAACCAGATTGCGACGACAATCACGCTGATGAATAACAGCCCTGCGCTCAGTAAGTTGGGCGCAAGATATGGGTACCGCTTTCCCATGGTACCAACCAGTAACCCGCCCAGGGCCGGACCCGTAATGCCGCCTAGGGAGTAGATAACGGGAAGCCACGTAAAGGCCCGACTTTGGTTGGAGCGGTCCGTCACTTCTCCCAGAACGGTGGGAACAACGGCAGCATTGCCATTGAGCATACCCATGGCCACATGAACGACTACGATCTGCCAGTAGGTCCTGCAGAACCCGAAGCCCACAAAACAGCCTGCTAACATGAAGGTACCCAGGACCATGGTTGGTTTCCTACCCACGACGTCTGACAGATAACCCCATAGTAAGTTCGTTGATAGCTGAGCGAGCGCAAATGCCGAGGCAAGGATTCCAACGTATAGGCCCGTCTGAGAGTCTGGTATATCGGAGAAGGACTCTACCATCTGAGGCAGGTAAGGGCCGATGGAGTTTAATGCTGTCTGCTCGCTCAGAGAGAGGAAGGCAAGCAAAGCAAGCTGCTTGACGGGCAGAGGAGTCTGCCGGTGGTCGTCGTCTGATCCATCGGAATCATCGTCGGAATGTGGGAAAAGCTCTGCGGATGATTGCTCGCGGGGTGTCTTGGGAGGTGGTGTCGGAAAGGTGTGATATCGGTGAGTAGATTGGCGTCGCATCGTGGTCCTCCGGCTGGATTCGATATTCCCTAGGGTTGGGATGGGAGCGCCTGCGTGAAAGGAGCCGGACGGTACTGTCCGGGACACAGCAGCTGCGCGAGCAATGTTGTTACTGTTGGTGGTGCGAGGCATGTTGGGAGCTGCGGCAATTGAGGCGCAGGGCCTGATGCAGAGGTTGACCAGTTGCAGCTACACGGGTTCTTGCAGAACTCAGCGGTGACGTCGTCGAGATCGGTCACGGTTTACTGGTACGGGGCTCGGTGGCAAGTGGTCGGAGATGGGTTCGGTGGTGAGCTGCTCGTTCGGGTGTAGCTGCTGGGCCCGGGCTACCCCGCTGCCAGGGTCTCACGGAGATGGAATGCAGAATCGCAGCCTCCAGCGCATGGTCTCGAGCTGGCTGTAGATGCGAGGAGGCGATGTGGTTCGGGAGGAGCACAGGACAATTGACGAGGCGGGCACACTGGGGAGGGCGAAGATGTGCGTCTCGCAATGTCCTGGGCTGGGAGGAGGGGAGGGGAGGATGAGAGGAGGAGGAGTCGAAGGTCGCAACGGGCGGAGGAGGAGGGATGCGCGGATGGTGTTGCGACGCAATGAAGTAAGGCAATTAATTAAGCGGGTGGTTGAAGAAAGGTGCTTGGTGCTGCAGGTCGGCGGAAGGATATCGGCGGGAATTACCTTAGCTTTCGGCTGGATGCGACGTAAGAACCCCAGAAGAGCAAGCGAAGACGGGTGCAAAAGACGAGAGGTCCAATGGAATTGAAGCACAGACATGGGTGACCTCATTTTTCATCCTCTTTTTTTCTTTCCTTCCTTTCCCTTTGCCTTCGGTCCTTCCCTCTGCTTTTTCAGGTCGCCGCTTGGGGTGGGTACCCACGTACCTCACTGGGTGGCAGTGGGTGCTCCGTGCTCGCGGCTGGATGTGGCTCGTGCATCGACCGAAATGGAGGTGGCAGGCGGAAAGTTTGTCATCGCCTGCCACCAGGGTCACCAGTTAAGCTTTCCGCACTGACAGACACCACTCGCACTAACAGCCAATCAACGCACCAAGAGATTGGTGGCAGGCACGCCGCACGAGGCATCGCACTTGCGCTTTCTTCTTCAATCACGCGCAGATGATGACGCCCACCCTCCAAATCACCACTTTGTCATTGGCCGAAGCCATCTGATCTCTCATCTCTCACCTGGCCTTGATCGTCCCAGATCTTCCCAGATCTTCCCTCCCACGCACGCGGTACCTTACCTTTACTTCCAACCCAAAATGCAAAATCCAAACGGCCACTAATAAAACCCTGGCGCATGGTCTGTTCTTTTTTGCTTTGCTGTCACATTTTACACGTGTGCTATCTATCTACTCGGCATCTCCAACCGTTCGTCTCTTTCACGGCATCCAATCGTTTGACTCAATACAGCCGGGAATCCGCACCAACACAGTACCTTACTGTACCTTACCAGCTAAAGTAGCGGCAGCATCTCCCAGAGACTGCCCTGTGATCAACATGTGTCGGCACCAGGCCATATCTTTCCGAGACCGCATCGACCGCTGCAGCGAGACATCTGACTATGGCTCAGAAAACCTCCGATGCTAGCTTCACGCAGGGTCCTGTCGTGTGCCCTTCTAGACCAGCGACGAGGCGCCCGGAGGACCCTGCACTTGACGTTACAAACAAAGAAGAGCGATGACGAAGACTGAAAGTCATGCGTGGCTGCTGGGAGCTGGTGGGCGGTGCCAGCAAATCTCTCCTTGATCTCGTGTCAAGACCCTGGATAACATGAGACTGAATCTTGCGACATATTCCTCTGGGGGTTCTCAAAGAGCTAGACAATAAGAAAAGAGACAACTACGGCACACCGAACAACCTGATGAGCCGAGAAGATGTCGCCTTTTTGATTCTCACTATGTATCAACAGACCTGCG